TGGTAAAAATTTCATATAAATCTGTTCCTAACTTTTTGAGTTATCCTGCTAAGCAACAAATTAATCAACTAACACTTCCAAAAACATAACCTCCTTGGCAGAGGTAATAATAATGATATTGATAAGAAGATAATGATACTGATAATGATAATGATGACAATTATATTGACAATGATGATAATAATAATAATAATAATAATAATAATAATAATAATAATAATAATAATAATAATAGTAGTAGTAGTAACAATAACAACACATACTGGAATATCAAAATATAAAGAACCTACCTGTTTTGTCTTTCAGCAAAGCTTGGGCGTCAACATGAGTCACGTCTAGATTCCGTAGCATAACTGCTAAAAAAGGTACTTTTCGCACTGCAGCCTGGCCCCTTAAGCTTGCTCTTCGAAGAACCCATTTAATATTGAAGACTTCAAGAGGGCACTTGGGATTATTCTGGTCCAATTCTAAATCATTTAACATCTGCTGCCATGGGCCACAGGTAAAATCATTTGCAGAATTTTGTGAACACACCACTTCCTGAAATATGATAGAATATCATCAATGGAATTAAACTTATTTCTACTATACAAAGAGGATAATAAATAAATAAACCCAAAAATTATGTGGACTGTCAGTGCAAATACCCAACTTCTTTATTTATAGGTAGAATTGGATAAAACTGGTGTGCGACATCTCTACTTTTACATACCTATCACCTACTAATCTCCACTTCATGATATCTCTACTTTTACAAATATATCACCTGTTACATCTCAGATTCTTAAGTCAATGATATAAAGGAAAAGCACACACAAAAAAAATAGTCTGCCAAAAAAAAAAGAGCATAAAACAGACCAAATCTAATGACTATGGTCAATGAAAAATTACCAGATAAATCTTATGTAGTCTGGAACTTACAATATATATTAGTTTTGAGTACACAGAATATTTTTATAAATTTGAATCTAGACTATTTTTCCAACTTACAAAGAAAATATCATCAGCATGAAAATTTTAAAAATTACCAACTGTAGATGGGGGAGAGACAAGCTGGAGGGTTTGCATTTTTAAGTAAAGGAAGTATGATTAAATCATAATCCATGCAACACACAGAGAATTGACATTCTTTTTTTCTATTAACATTATACACTAAAAAATATTGCCATTAAGGAATAATATTTAAGGGGGCATCCTGCTGATATATATGAAAAAAATATCTTGAAAAATCCTGAAAAATGGTGTGTAGTTGAAGATTCATTGCATGAAGTATCTTTATACAATCATGAATAATAAAGGAGACATAATAGGCTCATATACCCCTATGCCCCAGCCGAGCATACAAACAATAATCAACAATAGCATATCTTTATGAAAAGAAACTAAATAAATGTTTTATACTATATTCTCATACATCTAGCAGGGGACAAGGGTGACAGATACCATTGGCAACAGAGCAGCATTTATTCAGTGCCTCAACTGGCTCAGAAGTGGATGAATGTTGCTTTATTTTCTGAGCATTCACTTATCCCTAAAAGCTTTTTAACACATTTTTTCAACATGGGTTGACATGGAAAGCTTTTTAACACATTTTTTCAACATGGGTTGACATGGAAAGCTTTTTCTATTCAGTCTGAAGAACATTAGAACGGCTATCGCCATGAAGACATCTGGCAAAAGTGAGGGAGGAGAGAGAAGAGTGGGGGGAGGGACTGCTCACCGCTCACTCAGAGCCACCTCTCACAAGAGACTGATTACCCACATCTCCATGCCATTCCTCACCATTTCCCTTCATATCTTACAAGAAAACTTGCATGAATTTCTCTACCCATCTTAGAACACGTGTTGGGTTCTAGAAGAGCAGTTTACTCACAACACTACTTGGAATATGAAAAGTCTCTGATACCTTTGTGTTCAAGGGAACAGTAGGCCTACCATTATAAGGTGGGACCAAGTGCTAAATCAGAACTTAAAATGCAATAGAAACATCCTTAAGTACTTGGCTTATATAATGCGAATTTAGACTTACTAGAGTCTTACAGTAACTTTTATGTCAAGGTAAAGGATCTCACTGCTCAACAATATAAATTGAAACACCTATTGCTATTCAACCAAATTACTTGAAAGAGCGCTTGTTGGAAAGAGTGGACGGACTGCTACAATTTCTAAGAATAAAATAGTAAAAAACAAAAAACTAAAAAAATGTTCAACATTGAAGAAATGTTCAACATAGAATGCAAACATTGAATTATGTAAAACTGTTATAATTGAAATCAGATACTTCTTCTTTTGAATTGAATGTTATATGAAAAAACTATTTTCTGTATAGCTCTTACAATTTTCATCAAATTGCATAAAAAATTGAGAGGATGTACACTGCATAGAGGATAACAACATATTATCCTCTATGTAAATACAAAATCATTTTTACCTGAGGCACAGGAACTGGAGCAGCTTTCTCTTGCAGTTTTAGTACACAGGATTCTGTTGCACTGGATCC